ATGTTGCAGCCTGCTCACAACTATGTATCTACCTTTCATCTTTAGTTCTTTAGAGGTAGTAGTGTTCTATGTCTTGCTGCCAAATAGAAGCACTAGTAAAAATGTTATATTGAAAAGATTGGCCTTTGCTTTCATAGGAAACTTTAAATCAGTAGAAGAGTTTAGCAATGTCTACAAAGCTGTCCCAGCAGTTCTCTACGTTTTCAGTTCTGGGCCCAGATCATCGGCCAGCTGCACTATGTCAGATATTCATAATCTCAGACAAGCTTGAAAATGTGGTTCCTCACTTGGGATACATGGACCCTTTAGGGATCCATGGATAGATTTCAGGGAATCTTTACATTTAGATGGGAAAAAATAAATTTTTATTTTCACCAACCTCTAACTAAAATTTAGGATTTCCTTAAGTTATGAATTATTTTTTTTTCTGATAAAAGGCCTATAGACTTCACCAGACTGCCAAAGGAATCCATGACACAAAAAAGGTTAAGAATTTCTGCTCTGTAGCATCCATCCAAATTCATGTTGGAATATGGGAAATAAACATTCTGAATTCATTTAGTCTTTCTTGTCTGGATGGACACACAAATGCTTTTGAATACTTACATATCTGTTCTAGGGCCTTGATGCTGTCAACATAATGTCATGCAAAACAGGGGCATTTAACAGACTTCTCCATCTACATAAATCTAGTGATACTTGGCATTAATACTTGCTATTGGTCATTACTTCATTGATTGCATTAATAGAAAGTTCAGTGTGGAACGTCCATAGGGGATAATGGAAAGAGCTGTAGACTCAGATTCTCTTCTGGCTCTACCACTGAGAATCAACTCTCTGGGTCTGTTTCCTCACGTGTGAAAACAAAGACATTTTGTAAAATGAGAGGGTTGGATTAAATGTGTTGTAAAGTTCCTCTCAACTCTAACATTTCTTTAATTAATTCACTCTTTTCAGCTTAATTTTAAAAGATTTCTTTCATGAGTCTTTAACCTCTCACTAAATAAAATCATACATGTCTAAAATAGTCATTTTCTTAATCCAACTCCTTCTAAAATCCCCACTCATTCCGCCCACCTCCAGGAAGGAGTGAGTGAGGTCCTGATAGCTGTGCTTGACTCTTCTTGCTCCACATTCATTCCCCCTTGCAAAGGTAAGCCTGTTGTCCCGAGGCTTCTGAGAAACTGTGACAGGAGCATTCCCCTCCGAGAAAGAAGAAGAATTAATATAGCTACCGAGCGATCTGTATCTCCCTGTGTGTTCTGTTAATTCTAAATGGTTCATTCTTTTCAAAATCCCCACTCACAGCTCAATCTCTGCAAGAAAGCAGTTATTAAACATAGGTTTCATCCTTAAACAGTCACTCTCCTTGTGTAACCTAGGAAAAATATGGAGAAAATAAGTTGATCCTAGCACCATACAACAGATACATCAAGCCAAGTTTTACTGAAGATGTTCTCAAAGAAACAAAACACAACACGGTCTCCCCACCCTCAATTTCAAGATATGATCATCTGGCAATCAGGAATGTATAAATCACTTACTTAACATTTAGAACCTACATTGTGTACGTGAAATAGTTTTAAGGCCATTATTTCTGTAACAAAATTTATGTCTGTTGTGTCCCAGATTTACTAAAATTTCTCAAATATGTACATTTTTGGATCACAGGGAGTGTTTTGAATTCTGTGCTGTACTGTGGAGATCTTGGAGAGTTATCAGTGTGGCAAAGGTCTGCGTGTGAAAAGAAACAGGGGAGAAGATTCTCTAGAAAAAAACCTTTCTCATATATGACTTGAGTAAAGTACTGATTGAAGTAAAACCTTTTGCGTCTCCTGAGTAAGGTGACAACTACTCAGCTAGACATTTAGGATCAAATACACTGGTTTCATTTCACCTTTCCAGCTTCATCTCACACTAATCTCCCTGCTTGGTCCCCACAGTGTGCCATATGCACTGGACTCATCATCATCCTCCAAACACCTCTGTTGTCCCATTTCCATAACTGTGATTTTATTGTTCCCTATTCCTAGAATGTGATTCTCCCTTTACTGCCCACTTCTCCTTGTAGATGCCCTTCCCATCTTCAAAGCTAGTTGTCATATGATCACATCCATGAAGTCTTCCCTCATCTCTCCGGCTAAGAATGATTTCCCCTTTGTGTGATCTAATAGCACTTTACAGTTTTCTTATGAACTTAACATATTTGACTTCCTATCATACTTAACCTCTGTACATGGGGTCTTATTATCCCTATTAGATTTTAAGCTTCTTATGCAAGATATAATAATATATGGTCCCTGTCCCCAGTACCTACCACAGTGGATTACACATAGTAGGTTATTAATAAATATTTATTTATTGTAGGGGCAAAGGAAAGGACCAGAAAGGGAGAGTGTCCAATCCTTGATAATGAGTATAAGTGCAAGGCATCTTGAAAGAGCCACCTAGGGTAGAGGGAATGCAAAGAACACTGGATTTAGTGACAGAAGGCCTGGAGAGGAATCTTCCTTTGCAGACTATATGACTCAGCACTTAACCCCACCCTGGACCTCTGTGAAATGAGGGAAGTGAGACTGGATGGTTTCTCGGGCTCTTGCAGTTCTAAGTCCCAGGAGGCTGTGATGTAGAATAAATCATCAAAGGAAAGGATACCAATAGTGAATGGAGTTGATTTTCTCCACCATAAAAAGAAAATCTCCATGCCTGATGTCACTCAGAAAAACCACTCTTAGAGTAATTCCCCTCCCTCCTTCCTTCCTCTAAGAAGGCTTTAGAAAATGTGTGAGATGATTGTGGTCATCACTATCACCATCACTGTCATCATCATTCTGAATAATTATAAACATAATCATTGGTAAATATTAGAAGGGTGCCATTTTGCTATTATTTTAGTCTGTAATTCTATTTTCCCCTCATTTAAAGACTTTCATTTTTCGAAAGAAAACAAATGATGACCTGAAAAAAGGGAATGTATGCATTTGGGGAAGTTAATCAGTTTTAATGAAGAAAAATATCTAATTCCACTAACTAATCCCTTCTAAAATCCTAAAAATTAGGATACTACTTTACTTTTAAAAGATATGAAAAAAAAAAGAATGGAGTGGGGTAGGGAAAGCATTCTTTCAGTCCTTAGGAATGATTAAATGATCCTAAAGGTTTCAGTATGGTCAAGGAACTTAAAATATTGATTACTTTTAGGATGCCATCTATTCCAACTCCCTCATTTTACAGATGAGGAAATTGAGGCTGAAGGAAATTAGGTGGTTAGTCCAGAGATGCACAGCTAGTGTCTAGAGCAGGATTCAAGCTCAGGTCTTCCTGACTCCAATTCCAGCACTCTATCCAGGCAGGATTTGAAACTCCAAAGCAAGGGCCCTTTCTACTGTACTTCATGAAGTCTCAGAAGGTATTTTCTAAAATATACTCCCATATAGCAACAACTGGAAGCAAAGGATGTATCTACTGATTGGGAAATGACCTCACAAATTGTGAAATACTATTGTGCTATAAAAAAACAACAAGCATGAGGAATTCAGAGAAACACAGGAAGACTTGCATGAAATCTAAACTAATGGAGAGTAAAATGCAGAACCAGGAAAACAGTGGGCCTAACCACTGCAGTAATATAAATAAAAACAACACCAAAAGAATGCCAGACTTTACTTGTAGCGACCACTTTGATCTGGAGAATAGAATGAAATATACCTCTTTCCTCTCATTTCAGGAAAAGGATATGGGATTTTATATATGAAGCCAAATGCAGCCAATGTGTAGGATGGTGTTAACTATTTTTCTTTGTTAAAAGGATGGACTGGGGTCTGGTGGAGGGGCATTGTAAGAGGGCAGGGTTTGGGAATTGAGAAATTACTGTTGTGTGAAAATAAAAAGCATCAGTAAAACAGAAAATGTTTCAAAATCAAGTATAATAAACCATAGTGAGTGGGTAGACTGGTTGTTCATTGTGAACATAGGGTGTTGGAAGAGCATTGGGTGCTTGGTCTCAAGCCTGACTTTAGTACCAAAATGTAAACACTACATTTCATCTTTCTTTTTTCTTGCACATGAAACGTTCCTTCATGCCATTCCAAAAATGTAATCATTAGTTGTTAAATTGTCTTCACTTCGTTCCTTTAGTTTAACCTATTTTCTTACGTTTAATAAAGTTAAACATCTGTTAAAAGCTAAATTTTATTTACTTGTTCATTTAAGTTAAAAGTACATTGACATAATGTAATCAAACTCTCAGATAAAGTTCCACCAGCAGGAATGTACAGACTACTTATTTCAGCTATTTAGAGGGCAAGAAAAATATATGGAAAAATAGTACAAATAATAAACATAACAGTTTTTCTTTAGGCTTCTGACTAATGATTAATTAGTCCTGATGGGGTTATTTTTAATGATATATAGTCTTTTTTTTTAACATGGAAGAAACAGAAATGTCATAATGATCTTTTTTGTATTAAATTTATGCTAAGATAGCGCACATATCCTTTCAAACCTAAATGTAACTTCCTTTTCTCTTTCACTGGTGTTTTGTCATGCTTCAAGGGAATACACCTTACTCTTAGCCTTTAGAATGTGGGTAGTGGGGGAGATACTAAAGATATATTAATTTGTTTCTTTTCTTGACTAATCAAAGGTTATATAGTTTTGTTTTTCTTACAATTATAAGGGGACACTAAATTTTATGCAGTCATGCATAAAGATTAAGATAGGTAAAGAGATTAAGACAATTTATTGCAGAGTGGACATTTTTTATTACTGTTTTTAGATTTTGCTCTGCTTCATGTATTTGATCTTAGTAGAGTATGTTGATACTTGCTACATAATATTACCTAATAGGTATTGATCCCTCTGTAGAACTGGACCAGCTTACCTCAAAGGCCCTTCCTAAGGTTCTATGATACTTGTTGGAATGAGTTTATGTCCATTCATGGCAAAAGAAAGGCAGTGCTATAGTATTGACAGAATTCTTTCTGTATGTTTGTGTCCAGAAAACAGATTCAAGCCTTGCTAGGCCGGTTTAGCCAAGCTGAGGCCATGCTACTGAAAGCTGGAGTGCAGCCCGGGACTGTTGATGGAGTTCTTCTAGATCTTGGGTGTTCCTCCATGCAACTTGATACCCCTGAAAGAGGTTTTTCCTTTCGAAAGGACGGCCCCTTGGACATGAGGATGGATGGCGGCAGGTGAGTATTGATGAAACACTTCTTCTCGCGACAAAAAATCAATTTCTCAACAACACTGAATTTAATTTCCTTTTTAGACAGCGGAATTCCCCTCACACACCTACACCTAAAGCTACACATACATAATAAATCAGCTTTTCGGGTTTTTCTTTCCCATTGTATACTTCTATATTTCTCTGTATTTTAGGTTTTTGTCTTTATATTTAAAGTAATGGTTTTCCAAAATGAATATTCTTAAACTTTTAAATCAAAGAAAAATCATTTGTTACTACTGTCACAAACTCAGGAAGGGACTGACTCTCCTGTCTTTATCATTGTAGTTACATTAGCCAAAATGAAGTTTTAGATGCATAAAAATCTCTAGTTTTATGATATTTCCAACTGTAGTTTTCTGTGATGAAATTGATACTGTTGAGCTCAACTAAATGTTAGTCTTACTTTGTTTCCAGTGTAACTCTCAGGAAACTTCCATACTACTTGGAATTTTGTTGAGTAACAAGGGGGGAAGCTCTAAGACCTGGGGAGAAGAAGAAATGCTTTCCACAGGAAGTAACACAAGCGCTGAGCCTCAACGGAAGATCAGAATTCTCAGAGGCACCCCTGAGGAAGGAGTGTGGTCTGGGATTGGGGGCAGCCTGTGCAGGGGTGCACAGGTCACAGATGAAAAGTAGAACAAGAGGTCATTATGGCTGGAATACAGAGTTCATGTATAAATCTAGACACTTGACTGGAGTGGTAGCCTTAAAGCCAAACCGAGGAGGAAGAGGAGAGAATAAGCATTTATTAACTGCCCACTATGTACCAGGCACTGCAGTAAGAACTTTACAGATATTATTTCATTTGTGTCTCAAACAGCCCTGTGAAGTAGGTGCTATGATTATCCCCATTTTACAGCTTAGGAAACTGAGGCAGTCAGAAGTGAAATGACTTGCCTGGAGTCACACAGCTAAGACGTGAGGCAGTATTTGAAGTCGGGTCCTCCTGGCTCCAGGCCTAGCACTGCGCCCGTTGCTCCAGATGTTGTTAGTCGCTGAGTCGCCTCTGACTTGACCCATGGACCATCACTGGGGTTTTCTTGGCACAGATGCTGGAGAAGTTGCCGTTTCCTTCTTCGGGGGGTTAAGGCAAACAGAGGTGAAGTGATTTGCTCAGGATCACACAGCTAGTAAGTGCTACATCAGCTAGCTGCCTGTGTTTATTCCTCAAGGTAGTAGGGAGACACTAAAACTTCTCGAGTAGGGAAGTAGTTTAGCTCATAGGATTACAGATCATTGGAGGTGACCTCAAAGTCTGTCTAGGTTCTGCCTTCTCCTTTTACATGGGGGTTACCTGAGGCCCAAAGAAAATCAAGTGGCTTGCCCAAGGTCATTAAGGTCCTCTAATTCTAGACCAGTGTGCTTTCCAGACCCACAGATTAGGCTTATGCCCTAGGGAGCTACTCTTGTCAGCTGTGTGGAGGATGGCATAGAGGGTGAGGTGGAGAGCTGGGCTGCATTGAGGGAATGAGGACTTGATGCAGAGTGAAGGGAGCAGAAGCCAAGAACAATGCTACATGAACAAACAGCTTTGAAAGCTATGGGAACTCTGAACAGTGCAGTGACCATTCATGAGTGCAGGATGACAGGAGTCTAGGCAAGAGTGATGGGGGCCTGCCCTGGCCTGGAGAACTGAGGTGAGAGGCGTGCAGCTAGAATCAGTGACACTTGACAAATTCATATAAGGAAGCTGAAGGAGAGGGAAGAATCATGGCTAATTGCAAGGTTACCAAGCTGGGAGATGAAAAGGAGAGTGGTTTCCTTGACAATAGGGAGATGGGGAGAGAAAGTTTGATTTAGAAAGATCAATTCTGCTTTGAACATATTGAAATTGAGATGCTCATGAGACATCTAGGTGGATGTGTCCAAGAGACAGTGATGGGGGACTGGAGCTCAGGAAAGAGATTCAGAAGTCAGCTAATAATGATAGCTTATGAGATCATTGAGACAGAGAGTGTAAAGGGAGGAGAGAAGACATCCCAGAATAGACATGGGAGGGTTTTCCACATTCAGGCATCAGGACATGGAAGATAATTCCCAAAAGAGATTGAGAAGAAACCAACAGGTAAAAGGAGGAGAATGTCATGTTATGGAAGCCAAGTTTACTTTTGAATGTTGTAAGTCATTTTCTCACAGGTAGTTAAATGGGACATTTTGTCATCATTTTCATTCTGTAGCTCTGGGTATGCATGAACATTCTCATAAAAAGAATGCTTACCAGGTCTGTAAGAAGTAACATTCATTGATTCCAAGGTTGTGAACCTAGGTGCCCAGGAGGATATTGGTACCCTAAGCACAAATGGGGAAGTTGAAAAAGGGGTGAGTTGGTGGAGAAAAAAGTGAATTTCAATTTGAATGTGTTGAGTTTAAGATGTCTTTGAAGCATCCATTTGGGAATGTCCAATAGGTCCAATGTCCTTAGGACTGGAAATATGAAGATGTGACAGGGAATGTAAGGAGGAACTTTTTAAAAAATTCCTCTGAAGAACAATCATCTGAGTGACTAATGGGAAAGGACTGATATCTTCTCGTATTTGGGGATTGAGGTTGTTGTGCAGCAATGACAAAATGATGACCAGCAAATTCTTGCTTTTTAGTTGTTGTGCAAAAAGAGGCTTCAAGCCTTCTGACATACAATAAACCAAATATAAATCCTAATTTTGTTTAATGACCATCAACTTCAGATGAAAGAGTAATATGAAAGTAAAGGAATATGGCAGGCTCATGATGTGCATGCCTGTGATTCTTTGAATCAGGCAAGGTTAAGAGCATGTGTAAATAAGATTGCAGTACATCAGAAGGGAAGTTCTCAGAAGGAAAAATGATCTCACAGATGAGCTTTTGTCACATCTGTAAAGAGTCCTACTTTGACCCATGTGGTAAACAACAGGCAAACTCCTAGAAAAAGCTGTCTGTACAGGTTCCCTCCATTCTCTCAAATCTCATTCACTTCTCCCCCACCTTGCAGCATGGCTTCTGACTCCACCACTCAACTGAAATTTCTTTCTGCAAGATTCTATATCGTCTCTAATTGCTAAATCCAATGTTTTGGTGGAGCCCTTCATTCTTGTACTCTCTACAGCATTCTCCAATGTTGACAACAGACCACAACTTTTGAATGTATTCTCTTACCTGGGTTTTTACGGCATTGTTCTTTGTTAGGCCACATAGATAGTTCTTCTACCTATCTGGTTGACATTCCTACTCAGTTTTCTTTCCTGGACCATTGTTCATATCTTGCATCCCATGGGTGGACTCTGTCCAGAGCCCTCCTCTTTTCTCACTCTTGGTTCACCAGCTTTTATAGGGCTCAGTTATAATCTGTAACGAAATGACTCCTGAATATACATATCCAGTCATTGTCTCCCTCACAGCTTTACCAACTGCCTCCTGGGAATTTCCATTTGAATGTTCCATAGAAATTTCAAATTCACTAGATGCCATTATCTTTCTGACTAGACTCATTCCTTTTCTTAGCTTCCTATTTGTGTCACTCTCCTTCTAGTGACCCAGGTTTTTAACCTTGTAGTAATCCTCAAACTCTTCATCTGCTATATCAACTCAATTAACAATTTGTATCAACTCTGTCACCCACCACAACATTTCTTGCCACTCACACATTTATGACACAAATTTAGGCTGTCGCCACCTCTATCTTGGACTGTTCTAGTATCCTCCTTCCAGCCTCTCCCCTCCCAACCCCACTGCTCCTGCCACCCAACGATTGCTGTGTTGATATTCCTGGAACGAAGGTCTGCCCGTGTCCTTCCCCTGTGAATTAAGCTTTAGCAGCTCCCTAGGGCCTTTTGTGCAAAATACAGAATCATTTGTGGCACTTAAAATCTCTCACAGTTCAGCTGTTCTCTTTCCAAATTGCTTTCACATTACTCCCTACTATGCCTACTTTGTTCCCAACTAGCTTACCTTCTTTTCCATCCACGGCATTTCATTTTTAGGTGCCATTACGTAGACTGTCTCCCATGTCTGGAATGTTCTCCCTCATCAGCTATCCCCCCAAACCCCAAGTTGCCATCCAGGTTCAAGTCGGATGGAGAGATCTCTGGACTGAAAGATAGGAACACCTGGATTTGACTCCTGCCTTCTGTGCTGGGGAAAGCACATGACCATTCTAAGCCTCAGGCACCTTATCAGTAAAGTGGGGATAAGAGCAGCAACTTTCTCTCCAGTTACTGTGAAGTGCCAATGAGATCATGTATATGAAGTACTTTGCTAACTTTAAAGTAATAAATGTTGGCTATGATCTTCCTTAGCTATTCATATTACCTTCATTGCCATAGCTAACTCTGTAATTAACTCACATTTACTTTGTAAATATTTTCTATTTTCTTATTAGTGTACATGTTGTTTTCCCCTCAGGAAAATGTAAGTTCTTTGAGGAAGGAATGATTTCATTTTTCTTTGTGTATTCCCAGTACCTAGAACAGTACCTGGTACATAGTAAGCATGTAATAAATGCCTAATTAGCTAATACATCCCAATAAGAAACCAAGTCAGGTCTCAGTCACCCTCAGGGTTTCATGGCCCATTTCTGAGGCATATTAATTAAGATCCTAAAACACTGATGTTCTTTTTGTCCTCATGTACTAATTTCTCCTTAATTTCAGTTGAAAAATGGTATTTCCCTTTTTCAGCATTTTAAACCCCTATCCATGCTGAGAACTATTGGTTGGTTGCATCTTGGTTTTGTTAGTTGAACCAATACTTGTAATTTGTTTTATATCTATTTCCTCTATAGTCATATATATATATATACATATATATATATATATATATGTATATATATATATATACATATAGATAGATAGATGGATAGATATGTATATACATATAGAGAGATATAGATGTAGATATGTTGTTTCCTTCAATAAAATGGAAGCTTCTTGAGGGGAGGGACTGTTGTTTTGTCTTTTTATTTTTATTCCCTTTGACTAGCATAGTACCCAGAACATATATAATAGGCTTAGTAAATACTTGTTGATTGATTTAGTGTTTCAGTTTTGTGTAATTATTTTTAGTTCATAATATTCTTTGATGGTAAATGACATCATTGTCATTGTGGTTCCTCAAGAAGTTCTCATGACAGAAACGTACCAATTGCATCTTTTTTCAGGCACTTTCAGAATTTGCATTGCAACCCCATTTATAAAGCAGCAAATGCATTTTCTCCTCTCCAGTGCAGTCGTTTTTTTTTAATCTCTAGATTCTGATGTCCCTGACAGCTTCTACACCTGCCAAACTGAAAACATTATTCAGAATGACTGACAATATAGATATGATACAGGATTGTAAAAATCCCAAACATTTCCCACTGTTTCAGGCTAAAGAAGCCCCATTAAGATAACTTTCTTATATATATTAAAATTATTTTAATTTTAAATGTTTTTAATTTTATGTTTTTTGTATACTTGTTAATGTTATAAATGGGACCGCTTGACATAGTGATAAGGAATGTCAAAGGGAACATCTCTACCATTTGTACAAAATTCTAGTCTCTTACTTTAAAATCTCTGAAGTCCTCATAGCCTGTGTGTCCCAAAGCTCTGAAGCTTCACCTCTTGTCAATGAAGGCTGACGTCAGTGAACTAATTGGCTCTTCTTGTGTGTAGGTACCCTGACATGCCCACTGCTGCTGATGTTGTGAATGCCTTAGATCAACAGGCACTCGCGTTGATCCTGAGAACATACGGGGAAGAGAAGTATGCCAAGAAAATCGCTTCAGCAGTCGTTCAGGCACGCAGCATCTACCCCATCACCAGAACCCAGCAGCTCGCCAGCATTGTTGCAGGTATCCTCATTAATTCCAAACAGTGTCTGAGAGGGGAAGAAAAAATATATTAATCCCCCAAACTCCCAGAGGGATCTATTTGTTCCTGAAATCATGCAGGATCTAATTCTGTTCTCCATCTCTGATGTCAGTTTTATTTTTGTTTTTTTAAGCTCCCATTTTTTTCTACCACTGTAGTTTTCTGATTAGTTTAATAATAGATTTTACATGAAGTAATTTATCATTGGTGCCTACCAAGGTGTGGAACGTGGAATGACAAGAGCAGAGGGAATTCTTGAAGCCTTCCTGGCGTTGATAAGCATCCAGTATCAGATATGACATAGCCTTCCTTAGTTTTCAGATTTCTGCATTTTAATATTTTGGGGAAAGTAACATTGCATTGCCCAGCTCCTAAAATAAAATCTAGTGACTCATACCTCTATTCTAAAAGACCAGCTAACAAAGGGTGTGTGATGTGTAGGTTATTTCACTTTGTGAATGCTAGCTAAATCAGCCTGAGGGCTTTATGGAAACATTTCATCTCTTCTGCTGTTCCCCATCATCAACCTCCTGAACCAAAATCTAGCTAGGAGGCGCTTTATTACAGTCTCCCTTTTTGAAGCCAGAGTTGTTTCACAGCTGTGTCCCATGATGAAAGTTTTCCAAGGCAAAAAAATACCTCTGCTGCAGTTACTTAATGCTAGTGGAGCATGGAGAGTGTTGGTAGGAACTCTGAAACACATCACTTGCAGCTGCCATTTGCAGGAGCCAGAAAACTATCCACTGCATTATAGTTTCTTTTCATTGTTGCATCTTAAGTTTCCCAAAGAACTAAAAAACTTAAGAAGGTATATTTGGGTTGTTTATAAATGGAACTTGAGATTGGCTGCCTCTACCTTAGAATTAGTCATCATTTAGGGAACTAAACCTAATTTTAATTTAAATCTGGTTTAATTCAACCAGATCATTACAATGTAGAAATAATTTAGCAGTTTTTTGAACATAATTTAATAAGATCATGTCCCACACAATTTTTATGATTGTAACTTATGCAATAAAAATAATTTACTATATACCTTTAATTTTTTAAGCTCTGTACCTCATGCTGTTTCTTGCTTAACATGGAGATTATTTTTAGACACGTAAGTCTTGTGGGCTATGTGGGTATCAGCTATTCCATGGTATCTTTCCGAAGAAGAAGTGTTTACTTAAAAGTGTCTGCATTAAGTCAGCCTCAGTTTTGAGTATCTTTCTCTCTTCCCACTCCATTCCTACTGACCTTGTCCTACTCAGGTCCTTTCTATCATTCTTCAACAAGCTGTATATTGTTCTCTCTTCTCTTTCAGAAGGAGATACAACCAAAAGTCAAGTATTTGCCCCATAAGGAAAACATAATATTTCATTAGTTAGAAAACATTAGATCACATAGTCCTTGGGTACCGATGAGGCTATATCTTTATTTCATCTTTGTGTTTGTCCGCAGGGCCTAGCAACTGCCTTGAATATAATCAGTGATTAATAAAATTTTTTATTTGATTTTAAATGATAAAAATGTAAAATATTAGAACTGTAAGGTACCTTGGAGATTATGTACTTTGTTCCCTTCATTTTATAGATAAAGAACCAGACTCAGAGAGACTGACTTTCTCAAGGTCATATATTTAATTAGTGACAGAGTAAGGACTAGGCTTGAAAGCAGAAACTCAGGAATTCTGAGCTTGGTTGCTAACTTGTCCTTAAGAAATAATTTGACTTTTCCACATGACATTCTTCACCTGAAAACCAGAGAAAATAAAACTTGCGGTATGTCATAGAAGTGTTATATATATAATATATATGTGTGTGTGTATACATATATGTATATGTATGTATGTATATGTATGTACGTATACACACATTCATATACATATATATTAACAATGGAAACTTTTATCATCTACAATAATTTAATGTGAAGCATCTTCACTAAATTCCTACTTTTGTGACAAGGGAACAACCCTAGATTTTCAGTGGCTGTGCCATCCTTACTAATATCCTGCTTTGAAGGCCTTTCGTGTGTGGGAATGAGCCTGGACTTTTGGGGGCTGTGCCAGGAGAGCACAATCTCTTGCAGATCTCAGTAAGCTAGAAAGTCTTCCCAAGGGCATGTTCCTAGGAATGAGCTGCAGGAGTCCCACTGGAACTCCAGCTTGGCTCTGTTTTGAGAGCCTCATCACCAGAGTATCACCAGGCTGCAAAGTAATTAATTTTTTAGCCACCACAACTTTCAGAGGACACTTACCAAGTTATCAGGTTAAGATCTTTGTAGGGAATACTCTTTCCATCTGTGATGGAATCAGAGATGCTCACAGTATAGCAGTCATGTGAAGGTACAGAAAAATGAATCCATAAACATGTTTAAAAAGAATTTCCATATGAACCTAGCTAGAATCCTACTTTCAGAAATAATAATCGCAGCTGATATTTCTCTAGTACATTACAAAGTGCTTTATATTCACAATTTCACTGGATCCTCCAGACACCCTTAAGAAAATCCAGATAAACATAAAGAGACTATCTAAGCTGTAACATCAACTCATACTTTTGTGACTTTATGATTGGTAGATGAGAGATTATGCTGAATGAGAAAGAATATAAAGAATATATATTTGTACAGTCCTGCTCATTTATAAGTGTTTTTCACTAAAGTGTTAACCTTCGATATGCTAGTTATATAGGAAAACGACATTCAGATACTTGTCCTGCCCTCTGTGCCAGGCATTGTGCAGAGTATTAAAGAGACAAAGGTAGAAGTAAAACCGGCCATCTCCTCAGGGAGAACACAAAGGAATTGTGGTAGGGAGTGAGGGCACCAGCAGCTGGAGGGACCAGGACAAGTGTCAGAGGTGGCACCTGGGCTAAGTCTTGAAGAAAAGCAGGGATTCTAAGAAGGAGAGGTGAGAAAAGAGTACCTTGGCCAGTCCATCCATAAAACAAGAATAATATCTGGTCCTACCCCCTCCATAGAGTTATTTTACAGACACTTAGCACTTATGAAATGTCATTACAATAAAATTGATGTAGTATAGTGCAGTGGAAAAAAGACTGGATATGGATTTAGAAGACCTGCGTTCAAATACCTGCTTTGTCCCTCCTTACCTGTGTAACGTATAAATCACATAACCTCTTGGCTTTTCTCTTCATTTCCAGCCTTTGGAGTCCCTGCTTTTCTTGTGACTCAGCTTGGGTCCCCTTCTTTAAAAACCTGTTCCTGATGCTCCCCAGTATCAGCGCCGTTCCTCCCGAAACTAACTGGTATTCACTTTGCATAGATTTTGTGTGTACTTGCCTTGTCATTTCTATTTAGTTATGAGCTTCTTGAGTGCAGAGAGAATTTTGTGGGGTTTTTTAATTTATTTTTCTTTAACTCTTCAGAGCATAGCACAATTCTTGGCACAGAGTAGGCAGGTAATAAATCTATGATGAATGAATAAATAAAAGAACAGATTAACATTTTTCCTATCTCTCCCATTGCATGAGAAGCACAGTTGATGTTCATTGAATTAAAAGAATTAATTGTTTGATAATTCTCTCCTTTTTTAAAGTGATCTTTTAATTTTTATGTATACAACAGGGAAAATTCCTTGGTACTAATGTGGCTTTATGTCAAAGTGTGATAGACCTGTGATTTCATTGTTTATATGAACTCCTTCCACTAAGCAAATCACAACCCATTTCTGTAACTTACAGCTTTAGAGGTTGTTGTGAGACTTGCCTTGGGCAACACAGATAGTAAATATCAGAGGCAGAATTTGAACCCAACACTCTCTCCACCCTCTCAGACCTGCCTGTCTTTACCATCCAAGGATGCCCCTTGTAAGAAGAGTAGCCGGACACTAGGGAGTGAAGGCAGTTCAGTTTACTCTAGGGGATTCTAGGTTGACAGTGATTATCTTAAACCCGGAATTGGGATCATTTTTTGAATGTGATCTTTGAGTTCCAGATTTAGGCCTTCTCCAAAATTCCTGCTTTGGAGCCTCATAATAATGTTGAGGTCAGCCACAATTCTTCTAGTCTGGCCAGCAAAGTACACTTTCCAGCAGGTTCTACCCAGCCAGAAAAATCTGTCAGTATGGTCCTAGTTATAGATAGACTGTGTCTGCCATTCAGGTCAAGTACCCAGAGGTTCATCACAAGAAGGTTGGTCATCAGGTGGAATTTTTGTCTAGTCATATAGAAAACAGGTAAAAATATGAAACAGCCCCAGGTGTGCTTTTGTAATGATGGTGGTCAAAGTGCAGGAAAAGGTGAAGAGGATGTTGAGAATCACACAATCCTTAGACTATCCATACACATTAACTTAACTTCTGTCATTTTGAATGTGTGATCTTTGTTCAGTGACTAACAAGTAGATAGTGAAACCAGAAGACACAAAGAACTTGAAGCTAAATGAAAGGATCACAGTATTTTCTTAAAAAGCTATCAAAGGATTTGCCTTTACATGCACCCAAAAGCAGCAGGAAGTATCAGGATATTATGGGTAATATCACTTCACAAAACAGTGAAAAGCCGATGGTAAGAAATGAGCCTGCCAAGAGTTTGGTGTGAGACTGAGCTAAATCAGATCATCATGAAAGCAGCTGTAGATTAAACTGGAAAGACAACAAATAGATGTGAAATGAAGCAGATTTGCCAGTATTTCTGTAACAGTCTGTTCTCATCTATGATGAGTACCATGTTTGGTTGTAAGCCCTAGGTACTCAGAGATACAAGAAAGTACCATTTAAACACAGGGGAAGATGAAGACGGAGCAAGTATCTAGCTCTGACCATGTGTGTGGAGATGAAATCTCTGAAAACAATGGGATTTTTAAGGAATTATGATATTAGTGTTACAGGAATCCTTGTATTAGGGACTAATTTTTATGATACCTCAAAAAACCTAGCTTTTTAACACTAACATTCTGCCTGCTGTGAATTATGGAACATCTGGTCTCTTAAAAGAAGTTGTTGACTTAAAAAAAAACTTGTAAATGGATAAAA